TATGGGATGAATGATAATTGTAAAATGTAGAGCCAGAATGCGAAGGTGCCTAAAATATTTATTTTTATTAACAATAAAAAACATATTTATTTACCTGAAAACAATTTACCTGAATAATAATGTTTCCCGTCTATTGCTCCAATACAATTGACAAAATTCCACTTATCATTAAATTCCTTAGCAATTCTCTTCCAGTCATGTTCTGTTGGTTGTTTCAGGACAATTGGTTGTAAAACATTCCAAATTGCTGTTGTAGTCTCTAATATTATTTTCGATACTGTACTTTTGCCTATTCGAAACTGATAACTAAGTGATACCATACTATCCCCGCTTGCAAGATAGCTGCCAATAGCAATGTATTAAATAATATAAATAAAATATAAGTTAAATACATAATTAATATATCATTAATAACTGTAAAGCGTAATAAATATCATTAATAAATTTTCTTACCGTAATGTCAAAGCAAGTCTTGTTGCTGGTAGTATGGGTGAACGAAGTATAGTTACTGACTTAGTTATATGTGGTCCAATGAGACCAAGTAAAAAATCGAACTGTTCTGGTGTCACTCGTAAATAATTCAAATATTTATTTCGTTCCATGAAGCACATTTCGTTTATGAGTCTTTGTGCACCAGCTTCTCTTCGTTGTGTTTCATGGAATATATTTCGTACCCAAATACATCTATTTGTTCTTCGACGATTCAGCAATAAATAGAAGTATAATATGAACAAAAACCAATAATATTGATTGTTATCGTATTCGTTCATTTAAAAAAAATTTTTCTGAATACTTTTTGAATGTAATTATTTGCAAGGGACGTTTTTGTGATTCCTCTATATGTAGTACATTGAACTGTGTGTGAATTTTCAGAAGAGAATGTCCTTATGTCGATGTCAAGATGAATTTTTGTCACATATCTATAAATCGTTGAATATATGAAAGAATATAACATAAAACGTATAATTGTGTAGGGAAATCTATTTCAAACTGTATTAATATTTTAACTTAACCTAAATAATTACAGGTTATGAAATAAATTTTACACTCTTTCACAAAAGATCAATTTATTACTAAAATTAAAAAGATACATTTATTTTATTCACGTACTTACCAATTTCTTTCCACAATAATAATATTTTTTAAAATAACTGTCTGTTATTACAATTTCTTCAGACCACAACTACATATCTGCGGAAAGACGGAACCAGAAAAGTAGAATGCGGAAAGACAGAAGCAGAAAAGCGGAAAGTACCGCCTACTACCAGCGCGAGTTCTGATTGGCTTCCGCTTTTCCGCTTTCCGCTTTTCCGCCAAGGTGTGAACCCGGCCTTAGATTTAACGAAAATATTTATTAGGCAAGTAAACGTATATACATCTATATCTATTTATATTTTTTTTTGTTTTTTTATCATTTTATATTAACGCAACTTACTGGCTATGTGTGTCACTACAGGGCTTGGTCTCCCGCGTGTGCGCGATGCCGAGGCCGAATCCGGAGTAGCAGGCGAAGGTTCCCTTCCGGCTGCAGTTCCTCTCGCGGTTCTGGGGACCGAAGAGGCGACGCAGACTTTGTCTGCAGGCGGGCTCTGGCATGCCATCGAACCCAGGCCAGCTAGGGACGCGAATGCCTGGAGTAGGTACTACCCACATTGCACCCAGACATTCACTACCAGGGTTTGCCCAGTGGGCAGTTGTTCTTCACGGGGTGATCCCGATTGACCACGTCTCGATTGGACACCACTAATCACAGCGACCGGTGCTTAGGAGCTTTGTAGTCTCAAGCGCTGTGAGTGGCTCGTGTCCAATTGAGCCGTGTCCAACTGAGTGCCACCCGTTCTTCACGAACCATCGCCCATTGCACGCTGGGTGTCTCTGGTAGAGACGCGGCTAAAGGGCGGCGCACCGTGCCGTTACGGGGCAGGCAGAGTGCTGCCTGCAGGTCGTGGGGGAGGGGGCGGGATCGCACGGATTTATTCGTGGTGGATTCTGCACCTCTCGGAGAGGGACGAATGGGAAACTAGGCGTCCCGGGCTGCACGGACTTATTCCGTGACGCGGCCGGGGGCTGACGGAAGCTACAGCAAGCTCGCGGGCTTGCTGCACCCAGAGCATCTCCAGGGTTTTCACCCATAGCACAGGAGATGTCTCTGATCCGGGTGCAGGGGCCCGCCCGCCTGACGTCAAGCGTTTCGTCACGCGGGCGGGTCTCCCGTTAGTTAGTAGATTAGGGGTGGGGATCGCCTCCCGTGGCATTAAGCGTTCTGCTACGGGGGGTGGCCTCCGCCGGCAGGGGGCAGGAGGTTGCTGGGACGTTCACACGTCGTGACACCCACCTCCTGAATAGGGTAGACGGGGGTCGCGGCCGCTCGGACATTTCCGAGGCAGGGCGCGACACCTTGGCCCCTCGTGTCACTGCCGGGGGAGCAGGGGGTGCGTCGGGGGAGCCTTATGTGCCCCGCGTGGCACAGAGCGCTCTTAGAGGCCCAACCGCGGCGCGCCCTCTGACCCCCATATCCGGGGAGACATGGAGGAGTGAGGGATAGATGCCCGGATACTCGTGACGGCGTCCCTCCCAAAACGAGTGTCCGGGCGGAGTCTTAACCCACAGGGGAGGCGGTGCTCTCTCCTGTGAGCATGCTGGTCGCCATGGCGGGCAGGGTGCGGAGGGGGCGTCGCCTCCGTTACCCAAACTGTCCATGGGGCCTCCCCGAGTGGCGTCACCCATGCCCCTGGGGTCGGAGCCGGGGGACCCCTGAAAGCCCAAGGCATGGCACACAAGCCAAAGGTAAGTAGGGGGCTGGAGCCCAGTTCCCGCGATGATCATTCCGCGGGACCGAGGCATATACCTTCCCCCCGGGGGAACTCGGGGCCGCTAATTAATTGGCGGGGAGGATACACCCTGGAAGGTGCAGCCGGCATGGGGAGTGGAGAAAAAACGAAAAATGGAGACTGAACAAAACAAACAAGAAGCTACAACGAGCAAGGATATCCAAATGAACGTAGAGGAGGAGAGACAGGAGGATGGAAAAAAAGAAGGAAGACCAGGCACTTACGCAGGTGCAAACAGGACATGTGTTCCCGGTGGTATACGTGGAGGACCTGTCCCAGGAATCCAGAACGGACGAGGCAAGGGAATGTAGAAGTTTATCCTTTTTCAAAAGACCGGGACCAAGGTCCTACAAGGGAAGAATGGCGGAGAGAAGCAGCAGGGACTCGTCCGACGGATGGAGACGAAAACCCAAGAAATAATATGGAGACGGAAACCCAAGAAATAAGTTCGTCGGACAGCGACATAGCTGAATATGGGAGAAGCAGAGAGAGAAAAGCGGTGATAGAAGAGGATTCGGATGTATCACCCCCCGAAAAAAATAAACATAGGAAGTACTGAACCCCAAAGAACAAATAACAGGAAGAGGGAGAGGCTAGGCTCCGACTCTGACTATAGAAAAAGCAGAACCACCGGGGAATACGTTGGCAGCAGGGAAGCCATACTTAAATACAATGAGGCCAAGGAGGAAGTACTTCAGCTGGATAGGGAGAAACTGGGGTGATCCCGATTGACCACGGCTCGATTAGACACCACCAATCACAGCCGGTGCTTCGGAGCTTTGTAGTCTCGAGCGCTGTGAGTGGCTCGTGTCCAATTGAGCCGTGTCCAACTGGGTGCCACCCGAAGAAACTCATCAGAGAATACAGTAATATAGAACTATTTAAGAAGGCAAAGGTGAAGTTAGATATAATCAAGGAGCAGTTGGAGGACCTTACCAACGAGGAGTTGGCAGAGAAGGTCAACTCCAACCTGACGGAGGTACTTAGGATCGCGAGATCCTCTAGTAATCTAAAAGACACCTTTCAAAAGAGCCTTAGGATCGCAGCGGCCTCGTCAATAGGAGTCCTTGAGATATTCAAGGAAAGAGCGACCTTGTCCAGGGAGGAAGCTAAGTCAGAGGAAGTGAGATCCCTGAAGCGAGAAATCGCAGCTTTGAAAGATTAGAAGAGGAAGTAGAAGGAGAAAGAAGGAAGGCCCTGCATGCGGCGGGGGAAGCGGACACTTACAGATCTGAACTTCAAACCCTTAAAAAGGAGAAGTTGGAAAGGAAGGATAAAACCCCAAGCGCAAAGGAGAGAGAGAGAGAGAGAGAGAGAGAGAGAGAGAGAGAGAGAGAGAGTAGAAGTAGGAGAAAGCACTCCTCAGATACTCCTAAGAAGACTTCGAGACGGATCTCCTCGGCCAGCATCAGGGCGAGAGATAAGCTAGCCACATCGGAATCTGAGCAGATGGAGGTGGAGGAAAAGATTTCCAAAACAAAGAAAGTTACCTCAGACAGACCAAAAAACTGGCCGGAAGTCACTCGGCCCACCTTATGTGGGAAGAGAAAGATAATTAAGGAAGACCCGGAGGTGCAAAAAGCGATATACAACGCCCACAAAAAGCACATTTCCGAAACACACAATGAAAAAGGGGACAAACACACAGTCGCCAATGAGAGGACAGAATCCAGCCAACGCAGCAGCAAAAAGAGCGGATCAAGTTCCGCCGGCCCAGTAGAACTGGCGGAAATGATCAGGAGAATTGTTGCGGAGGAATTAACTAAACACAACAAGAAGCCGATCATCAGGGATGTTCAAATCTTGAAAACACCCATCACCGTAGAAAAAACAGGAGAGAAGGTTATAGACAAGAACGCAAGTCCGAGGGAAGGCAGCAAGAAATCAAAAGAGACGTCAAAAGAAAAGAAGAAACAGGACCAAGAGGAGGGAACTAAACAAGAGGACATGAACAAGGAAATGCCCTGGACTAAAGTCCTAGGCAGAAAGGGTAAGAAGGAACAAGGCGGAGGAAAATCGCCAGGACAAAGAAATAAAGTAACAACAACAACGGCGAAGCCCTCAAAACAAGCACGCATAGATGGAAGTAATATCAACAGAAATAGGAAAGTGCCATAAACAGCTACGGTACGAATCAATTTTCGCGGAAATACGTCATATGCTGATATAATGCGATTGGCCAAAAACAGGGTTGACATCGATACCCTAAACATAGGAGAGATCCGCTCAAGGAAAGCGAGAACGGGGGCCCTTCTGCTTGAAATCCCGGGAGCCGAAGGTGCCAGTAAGGCAGATAAATTAACAGGAAAACTCAAAGAAGCACTCGGGGACGAGCAAAACGTACTAATCTCTCGGCCGGAAAAAACCGCGGACGTCAGACTGAGAGATATAGAGGAGTCGACTACGAAAGAGGATATTCTGTTGGCATTAACACAAAGAGGAGAATGCCAAAAAGAAGCCATAAAACTGGGGGATATCACCTCAGCATATAATGGACTGGGAACGGTAGCTGAGATGCCCGGTAGCAGCAGCCAAAAGGATAGCGAACAGCAAAAGAATCCGCATCGGCTGGACGATGGCAAGAGTAGAGCTGCTACCCGAAAGGGCAACACAATGTTACCGTTGCCTAGAGGTAGGCCACGTTAGGAATCAGTGCTGCAGCGAGAAGGATAGAACAATGGCCTGCTATAGGTGTGGGCAGGATGGACACCCTGCAAAGGGTTGTAACGCACAGGCGCACTGTATAATATGCGCTGAGAAAAACCTGAAGGCGAATCATAGGATGGGGGGCCTGACGTGCAAACCCAATACGTCAGGGCGTAAACTTGGATCTAAATCTATATCCAAAAAACCTACGCAAAAAAGTACGGGGAAGAGTGACACAGTTGCAATGGAAATAGACACTGCAACCGCTAACATAACGACAGATAACGGGGTTGGGGACAAAGAATCGAGCATCACGAAATCCATGGCGGCATGCAGCGTCAACGACAACAAAACAACGGAAACAGTACAGGATCCTATTCCTAAAAGTATGGAAATTGATACAACACAACAAGAGGAATTACCGGATACTCAACCTCTTCAGAAAGAAACGGAATGGCCCGAAGAGGGGCTAAGCTGGACCAACGAGGGCCAAACCAAAGAACTAGGAAAAGAAGGAGAAGAAGGAGGAATCTCCGTTAATAAAAATGATGGTCAATAACGTTTTGCAGGCGAATATCAACCATTCCAGGGATGAGCATGACGTCCTACTCCAGACGATGGCGGAGGGAGACTTCGCAATCGCGATAGTCGCGGAGCCATATACTATCCCTGTGGAACACCCGCATTGGTTATCCAACGAGGATGAAACGGTGGCCATAACGTGGAGACAGGCCCGAAACATGATGCCATGTACCCCACACAGTAGAGGGAAACATTTCGTGGTAATAAGATGGGGAGACATGTTGGTGGTAGGCGTATACCTACCGCCAAGTCTGGACATGACTCAATTCGAGGAAGCACTGGAAGAGCTCGAAAGATGGACCATCCAACACATGGACAAGTCCCATCCTAATTGCAGGAGATTTTAATGCGAAAGCTAGAATGTGGAAATCCCGGGTAACGAATGCACAAGGAATCCTGGTAGCAGAATGGGCTAGCGGATTGGGGATATGTTGCCTAAATCAGGGCAAAAAGACCCTGTATCAGAGCAAACGGGGAATCGATTGTCAACATAACCTTCGCGAATCCAAGAGCGGCAAGAAGGGTCGTAAAATGGATAGTATCAGACAGGAAGTCAAAGTCTAACCACCGATATGTAGAGATACAAACGAGGTGATCCCGATTGACTACGTCTCGATTGGACACCACCAATCACAGCGACCGGTGCTTAAGAGCTTTGTAGTCTCAAACGCTGTGAGTGGCTCGTGTCCAATTGAGCCGTATCCAACTGGGTGCCACCCATACAAACAAGTCTCACTCCAATCACAGCGACCGGTGCTTAAGAGCTTTGTAGTCTCAACCGCTGTGAGTGGCTCGTGTCCAATTGAGCCGTATCCAACTGGGTGCCACCCATACAAACAAGTCTCACGGGCCAAACAGTCATAGAGGATACGGAAGAACAGGTAAAGTTTCTTCAGAAGGTACTCACAGAGGCATGCGATATCGCGATGCCGAGATCGGAGCCCAGGCCACGCAGAGCAATGCCATGGAGGAATGAAGAATTGGCACAATTGCAGATGGAACTCTCTAAAGCTAGAAGACGTCTCAAGAAGCTGAGATCAGGATATCCAGACGAAATAGAGATACAGATAAGGATAGAAGAATTTCGAGGACAAGCTAGGGACAGCTTCGGAAAGGCGATTAGCTAAATCCAAGGCGAAAAGCTAAATCCAAGGCCTGGGAAGACTTTGTACTTACGCTCAACGAGGACCCGTGGGGGCGCCCCTACAAAACCGTTTTCGGTAAACTGAGAAGGTGGGCGCCTCCATATACAGAATCACTGGAAGGAAATATACTGGAGCGGGTACTCACCGGATTGTTCCCGCCACCTCCCAGGACTATGAATGACTGGACCGAACCAGAGTTATCACCTGAAGGTGCCTCAGTGTAGAAAAACGAGCTGGGGGTCACACATGTGGAATTGCTGTATGCAATTAACAGGATGAAGAAGAAAAACGCAGCTCCAGGCCCTAGTAGGATACCATCCAAGACCCTGGCAACAAACGTGATGGCTGGAGAAATAATAAGGTTTTTCACAGAGTGCCTAAAAAGGAGGGAATTCCCCAAACTATGGAAGAATGCAAAACTAGTGCTATTGAGAAAGGCAGAGAAACCGGATGACCAGGCGTGCGGGTATCGCCCAATATACCTTCTGGACGACGAGGCGAAACTACTAGAACGCATCATATCGGAAAGAACAGTGGAACACTTGAACGGTAAGGGACCAAATCTGAGCCCAGCACAGTTCGATTTCAGGAAAGGAAGGTCTACGATGGACGCTATCAATACTGTAAGAACATTCATGGAAGAAGCATTTGCAACCGGAAACACAGTCATTGGGGTTTCACTGGACATTAAGAATGCTTTTAACACGCTGCCTTGGAGCAGCATCGGCAAGGCTCTAAGAAGACACAGAGTTCCCCTATATCTAAGGAGAATAACGAGTAGAAGAAAGGAAGCTTACCTTCTGCAAGAACGATGGCACGGCAGGTGAAAGATCAGTCGAAAGAGGAGTGTCGCAGGGATTCATTCTTGGACCCCTTTTGTGGAACCTGGGGTTTAACTCAAGTATGGAAGAAGACGAACTTCACGCAGAGAGCATGGTTATATGCTACGCGGATGATACCATGATCCTAACGGCAGGAAAGGACTGGGAAGAAACCATGCTCCGCTAGAATATTGCTATGGACACGGTCATCCAGAGGATCTCTGACCTAGAGTTGGAGGTCGCGCCAGCCAAGACGGAAGCGGTCGGCTTTTATAACAAAGACAGACCAGCTAACACCGAACTAAGGGTAGCGGGTACAGTGATCCAAGTAGGCTCGAGCATGAAGTACCTCAGACTGATGCTCGATAGCAGGTGGACATTTGAGGCCCACTTCTCGGAACTGGCGCCTAGACTGGAGAGGTCGGCTCTAAATTTGAGCAGGCTCCTCCCAAATTTGGGAGGACCTAATAATAAAGTAAGAAGCCCAGGTGGTATCTTCGATTGCACTATACGGGGCTCCAATCTGGGCATATGAAGTCAATAGGAACAGGAAAACCATGCAAATCTTAAGGCAGACGCAGAGGAGAATGACAGGGAGACTTATCAGGGCATATAGGACAACCTCCCTGTCGGTCAACACGGCCCTGGCAGGAATGCCTCCATTTGAATTGAAAGCGAGACTGCAGGAGGAAACATATGAGAGGATCTCGGAACTAAGGAGAGTTACCCCAGTCAACACTCCGGTACCGAAGAACACGATGGAGCTGATAAAGGAAGAAACCAGGAAAAAGATGATAAGAAAGTGGAGATCCTGGATTGGTGATACGGAATAAGGGGAGGACGCAATCATAGGAGCTATCGGGGAACAGCTGAGTGGCTGGCTGGAGGCAAGGGTGGGTCTTTCCTTCCGGGCGACGCAGGTCCTGACGGGGCACGGCTGCTTCGGAAGGTATCTGTGTTGCATCGAGAGGGAGACCACACCTAGATGTTGGCACTGCAAGGCCACAAACGATTCGGCGAGACACACCCTCAGGTACTGTCCGGCCTGGGACCGAGAAAGAGCCGCACTCGTAGATGTTACGGACCCGGACCTTGAAGCCGGGAACAAGGTCCCGACTTCATGGCCCGACCGCGTAGCGTATAGAGAATAAATTAAAGAGATAATATATAAATTTTGGTTTAACTTTACGAAGATTGTTTACGCGCAACTATTATTTGAGAATTGTTATGATCAGGGCGATGCGTCCGAACACTTGTGACATGATTATATAAAATTAGATATAGAGAGAAATAAATATAGTTTATGCAGATTCGAGAATAGGCGAATATCGTCAGTATTATTGGGTGATACGATTACCCCATTAAATAAAGGTTCCATTTTCGTTAATTCGTAGACGAGAGGCCTAATGGGCACATTTGGTGAATCTAATTTCGTCAACAAATCTAGATGCTAGTTTTTTTTGGTTGTTTGGTTTTTGTTAGCGCGCTAGAAGGAGACAATGAGATCATGTTTATTTTAATTAAAGAGCTAGCGACGCGATTAACGTTATAGAAAGTCGCATAGAGAAATAGCGCAGAGAAAAACCCTAGAAATGGAGTGTCGGATACGCCTAGGGGAACTTAGAAGTAAAATATCGTTGGAAAACCGCGTTTACCAAGACCACGAAGGGAAATCGCGAAACAGGAAACGTAGCACCGCTATTTAAACGTAACAGGGGAATTTAACGTTTCGCAAGCTCTAATCTTATACCGGGTGTCCAAATAACCCAGCTATCGACACAGGAATAAAAGGAAACACGTACGGCGAAGACGTAATAATTTAGGGAAAGCAAGACCAAACGAAACGCGACAATAATAAGTTTGAATTATATACCGGGTGACGGCAAAAACCGGATTTCTCGCATTTAAAGCCTGAAATGATGGAAACAGCAAACGTCAAGTAAAGCAACGCGGAAAGCCATAAAACATGACGTTTTGCGTAACCGCGTAATATAACGGGTGTCCGATAAACCCAGTTGCCATTGGCAAAATTTGTAATTCGAAAAATCGGAAAACGTCAAGCGTTTCAGGATTAAAAGTAAGGAAGATTAGCGTTTGCGAGAAATTTATAATGCAACGGGTGGCCGAGAAACACAGTTGTCGACATAATAAAATAGGGATAGCGACTAAAGAGAAAGGTCAAAGATTGCGGGGACAATCGTTGTGAAGCGTAATGTAATTAGAGATTTGTTACATACCGGGTGTCGGTAAAGCACTAGTTTGAAATTAATATAAGTAAGGAAGCCAATATGTGCAATGCGTGCGATATAATAATTATAAGCTAGATTGATCATTATGAGTAAAAGCAATACTTACCTGAAGGTCGGAGTACCGAAGGGACTTTATCCATGTTGGCCGTTGTCTATGTAATGTACCTGAAACGAAAAGAAAAACAATGTAATTAATTTAAGTTTATATACTTACCTGGAAGCCGGGAGGCCAAAGGGGATCCTATCATTGACGACTGCTATTCATGCAAGGTACCTAAAATAAGAGGAAATACATGTCATTGAATTAAATTTATAATGTATGTGTAATAATGTAATTATAGAGACGAAGCGTAGCGAGAGCGGGCTAAACGAACGCGGAGGCGCAGCTGCGAACGAGGCGCTAGGATCGAGGATCGTAGAGGGGATGACGCGGAGTATATAGGCGTGCGAAACCAGAAGCGGAGAGTGAAACCTTAACCGCCCACTCGCGTGGAGCAGTATGATAGCATACTCACTCGCGCGGAGCAGCTAGTTTAAAACTCGAATGCTTAACAAAGTGGGAGACTCACTCGAATGTATTCGATCTTACATAATGTATGGAAGTAATAAAATATATAGATATTGCAATGTTTGTAAATCGAGAATCATTAATTGACATAACCCATCCTTGTGCGATCTAAGCCAAACGCGATTGAGGATTAACCTTCTCCTTTGGAGGTCAAAAGGAGTGGCGACCGAATAGAGGACGAAAAACTGGACCGAATTACATGCAAGAAACTGTCATTCGGCTACAACCTAACGTGAAGTTCCGTTGTTAGGGCCCTAAGGAAGGAGGAGGGCAAAAGAGCATTCCTGACTTTTTGCGAATCAGTGATGACCAAGAAGGAGGCAGCTGAGAGAACACGAGAGGAAGTGATTATACTCCCGGCTTGTGGCACGGGCGGGGCTAACTAGGTAGAATTCTAGAATAGGAAAACTCCAGTAGCAACTAAGATAGACGAGCCCGAAGGGGCAACACGGGGAAGGGGAATAGTGCGATGAGGCGAGCGAGAACGCACACAGGGATAGGAGGGATCACCGCACCGACTAGCGGGGCGGTAAGGGGTCTAACTCGACGAACGGGTAACAGAGCCCCTACACCACGGGGAAGGGTATCTTCTCCATCTTTAACTTAAACGCCCCTCTCCGTGGCCCTGACTCGAATGCGAAGGTAGGAGGAGACATACAGCCGCACCGGATAGCGGGACGGCTGGTCTCAAATAAAGCGACAAAATAGTAGGGCTTAAAGGCCGAGCCAGTAGCGACTGGCCCTCAAAGGTAAGACCCATGGGACTGAGAGCGGGGGCCCGAGATCCCACCGAGATGGGTATACGGGGAAGGGAGGGTGAATCGCCGGTGTCTTCACACCCTCACCTACATATGGTAGGCTAAGTAATATAGCAACGCGGGGGCCCATCCGGAAGTACTACTGATGCGAAATTCCCGGATGGGTCCCATTCATATCGGGTTAGCACGCCCGCAGGGGTTTTAGTGAGTAGGCTCTCCGAGGCAACAGCCCCGGAGAGAGAGTCCCACATACCCCATCCCCCTCCCCCGAGGGGGATGGGAATGCGTAATGCATTTCCCCTGCGTCACAAAAAAAGTTAGTAATCCCGTAAGTAGGATAAGGAAATAACTAAAGGATAGAACTGCGTTGTCTGCGATTAACACATAGTAAATAACAAATATTAACATATTATCATAGGAATAAGTACGATACGGAAGGATATAAAATAGAACACTTGTTGCGTACGAGGCCTTCGA